TGGTTATGATGACTGCGTTGCTGCTGGCTGCCAAATAATGATGCAAACGTATGTTCAAAACGACCAAATGGATTTTTTTTGGCAACGGCCATTCCGTAACAAAACCGCGCGAATGTGTGAAATAGTCATGCAAATGGATTGGATTGGATTAGAGTGCCGATTAAAAATTCGCTAAATTTGCATTTTACATTTCAATGGACTGGCTTTTTTATGCACCGTAACATCCATTCCAACGCTTTGCAAATGACGTCTCGCGAACTTTAACTTTGAAAACCAAACAAATTATGCGCTATCGTCTTTATTCCAAAAAAAATGTATCGCTTAAAAATGTGAATAATTAAGGGAAAATGAGAGTTTATTTCTCCGGATAATGAAGAGTATAATCGCGACTTTTTCATTCAAGTCGTAACAACAAGTAAATACTTTAAATTTTTTTTTTCAAATATCCAGAGTACATATCATCGGTTGAATGTGACAAAAATAGTGTTAAAATGCGAAATAATCACTTCAATAGAGTCACAATATCACTTGTCGTCAGTCAACACCCACTGTTTGTTTTTCTCTCTCTCGCAATCTGTAGTTAAGTCGCAATTCGATAAATTCGCGCTTACGAACTCTTTCATTATGGTTTTATTGCATTTGCTCAGAAAAAAAAGTGTCAGTCTTTGAAAACTTGCTGAAATATCGAATCTTCATTGAATTGTGGTTTTGATGGTGTTTTCCTCTCGCCCGTTGACAGTGTCTTTTGTTTCGAATTCCCAACACAGCCTGTATGACGAATGAGCCAAATGAGTTCGCGGTAAAACTTCGAAATGGATTTTGCCGATTGTTCACTTCCATCCTTTCGTTCTCGCACCATTTTTTTTGTCTCTTCATTCGCTCGCCGCCGATCGTAAATAATCCGTAACAATATGGATTCGAATGCGGTTGTTAATAGTTTCAGTGGGTTTTTTTTTCAACCAGAGCAGTTGAGAAAAAAAGTTCGAGTAGAGGAAGTGAAGAGACAAAGCAAAGGAATTCATTTGAGAGATAGAGAAAAAAAGCCATTTCAAATGGCGATAATTCATAAAGTGAATGTGTATCATATTGAAGAAAATGCATTGAAAACGAATAGTTTAGATTTTATTTTGGTTGGCTCGACATGCTCTTGATGCTATCGTATTGAGTGCGTTTGGCACATGACAACTCTTCGTCGCAAAAATGGGAGAGTGAAAAAAAAACGCGGCCAGTTGGAATGATTAAAATGGCACTATTACAAAATGAAAGAGCCGAAAAAGAATTGCCATTGTACTTGAACAATTTAATTACTTGCACACACACAGGGCACAATCATAACGACGAATGCAGTATGCCATATAAATCGGCTGAAATTATTTTAAATGGTACAATAATCTTGTGTAATCTCTCTTTCGTCTTTAGTCATAGTGTGCGTGAAATGGTGGAACGGAAAGAGAGCACACAAAAAAGGAAGCAATCTTGGAAAGTCGAGTGAAAAATGGCATTCAACCATTTTTATATATATGAAGTACCACATCTGTTTTTAATTGCTCAAATAAAAACACTTTTTTGGCATTCGTTGCCAGCAAATCTTCTCAGACTCTCTTATCTCTGTGCAATGAATGCCGTGCTGGTTTGAGAGTCAAAAAGCGCTTCAAAATGCATAGCCATCGAACAAATCGAAACGTAAAACGTAAACCCCCCCGATGAAACTGAGCATCAAATCCGTTTACCCTGGATAAATTGAATATAGTTACAACACATAATAACATACTTATTTCGACTCAAGCATTTATACACACACACACACATATCCACATACTTCCACTGAAGCTGCACAGACCAACGAATCAAGCAGATATTTTACGAGTTGTGAGTATATCTCATAATTCCAGAGTCAAAAACTTTATGAAGAATACTTGACAATGGGCGGACACTTCATTTGATTTTTGACTTAAAATTTGTGGCCCCAAACCGATTTCGTGTTTGTATGTGTAGGGCATAAAGCGGAAGAGTCTCCTACTTTTGTGCCGCATGCATTACTGCATAAGTAATTTTGAATCAGAAGAGTGAGGAAACTCCTGTTAAAAAACCAAGTTCGCATCGATTTTGAATGAATTTATGTCACCACTTTAGACACGGTTTGATAGGTTTGTATGCTAACCACTTTGAATTTCTCTGTTCAATAATGTACCTGAAAACCTACATTTCATGCAAATAAATTTCAGTTTTGTCACTATTGCAACTTTTGGATGATTTGCACACGACACTCATAAGTTCGATACGACTTGTAGCGCCTTTAAAATACACCATTTTTTCAGTCATTTCACTCTAAATGGCATTTTGCACTTCTAAACTACCTTTGAAGTTAATTATTCAACTAAATCAACTGTAGCCCCAAAACAGTCAGAATCTTGCCAAATATTTGGCCATTTTGGACTGGGCTTCTAATTTTGGTTAAATGCAGAGTTAATTTATCACCTTTTGCTTGTAATGTAAAGTCATTAACAGCAGCTAGTTACTAGATTACTCATCGGCAAATTCACTTATTCGAACTCAATATGTATGCTGAATGCATAAAGCATTCCATTTGCAATGCTTTTACTGTGTCCACTGCTCGTGTATCTTTGGTCTGTGTTTAATTAACCCTTTTGTGGTCACATCATCTAAAAACCATTCAGTAAAATCTGTACGACGAATGAAATTCCATTAACAAGGGCCATTTTAAAAATGCATCAAGATTTTGTTAAGGTTTAAAACACTGGCTTGATCTCTTCGCCAACCATGCTCCGTTCAATCGGATTGACTATGCGAATGAACGTAACTGTCGTCAACTTCATCATGAATTTTCGTAAAACGCACACTCGCAATGCACAATGGACCACCAAAGTGCATTATTTGAGTAGTTGTTGGGTTGCCCAATTGTCAGTGGCGTTTGCATGTTGATTCAAGGATGTGATAAAATCCATACACGATTCTCGAATAAGACTACACTATGTGTATTGATTTATCTTGATGAAGCGGAAGTCAATGGTGACTGCTATCGGCATTCTTTCGAATCGGTAGTCTGTGTGCCTGCATGCGACTAACACATACATCCAGGACATGAATTCTTCAACCGACTGAAAATCACAAACGCTTCTTGTTCTTAATTTGCACAACTAAATGTTACAATCTAGGGGAATTTAACTCTTACGAGTTCAGCATGTTTTTTGCCAGTTTGCTTGATTCGCGGGAGTTCGACGCGTTCCTTGTACGTACTGACGCGCACGGTCACAAGTTTACACAAGTTTGTTTATGGTTTTGCGCGTTTTTCAAGTTGTTATTTGACAATTAAAACGCGTTTCAAGCTAAAAATCGGTTGTTTACGTGTATAAAGATTTTTCACATCCTTTCCAAAAGTTCAAAGATTTATATAATTATAAAATGGACAAAGGAAATATTTTTAAAGAGCTGGAGAAAGTGTTGAAGAAAAAGTTAATCCAGATATAATAAATGGAACGACTGATGTGTGCGCGTCGTCCAGCTACAAGTTTGCACACGAACTCGCGCGCGTTCGCGCATGTTGTTTTAATACGGAACTTGTCAACTGAGTGGAATCATGCAAGTTCTCTGGTGAATGTAACAATTTCGTGCGCGTTTATATCATTTTTTTACAAGTTTTCACGTAGTTAAATCCCCCTAGGTTACAATACAGTCTAGTATGGTCGGTGCTCTGTCTCCCATTCACGAGTGTTTGTTCAATTTTAGCAGCAGTCGCTCAAGCACGAAACAAACAATATTGTGTATGTGTGTGAGTGTAAGAGAGGGCGATAGAGTGAATGGCGCAAATGAATGGACACCAAACTAACTCTACAATCGAAAATGCATTCCAATCTAAAATGTTTCCTATTTAATGTTAAGTTTCTGCTGTGGTAATGACGAATGCGCTCGTGTGAAACGAAATTGAAATGTGTTATTCGTTGGCATTGTGTATGGCTCAGTTCGCAATATAAATGCTGCAATTGTTTTATCTCTCAATTTCGTTCGGCTTTTCATTCATCCAACACTCACTCACTCACTCACCCACTCAGTGTATTGTAGTGCTGTCCGCTTTATCATTTCCATGATGTAATGATGTGTACTGTACAATGTGCACTGTGTTGCCACTGTGTATGCGCATGGATGTGCAGTAGACTGTTCCGTTTCCGACAAAAATGAAATTTCTTTGTGTGCAACTAGCCTATTTGTTGCGAAATAGTCCAAAAAGAAAAACCAAGATGAAAACTGCACTAACTCATGGGATTGGGAGTGAGCTCAACGCGTGTGCAGCTCAAAACAAGGGAAAATTGCGATTTTTGACATTTTACTTACAATTTACTCGCTAAGACCAAACCTTTTATCATACTTTTTGGTTTGTGGCGGTGAGAATGAACAAACACAACACAAATAAATAATACCCAATCGATTTCATATTGAAATATCCTCAATTTTATTGTAAAAAGACAGTTTTTTAAAGAAAAATTATGAATGTTCAGCTTTTTTTGCGTTTCTGATCAATTATTTTGTTTTAAGATACTTAAAATTTATAGAATTAATCATGAAATGTTGAATAACATCAGATTTGTCTAAATTTAAAAAAGTTCATGCGATTTCGAATATAGTTTGTTGAATACACAACTCGTTTCGGTAATCTCATTTCTAAGAAATATTGTCGATGCATTGTTTACATGAGACCGTATTGAAATTCCAATGGAATGTTATTCTGACGGCTGCTTGGCGATGTTTGTGCTCATAAAGTATAAACAAATACTTTGCCTTCGCACTATGTGTGCGCGAATTGACGAATTGCTGATGTTTGCAAAATTGGCCCTTTTCGATTATGTCAATTTGACATTTGGGCAAATGAGAGCTGTAGCAATCGAAATTCTGTTTGATCTCAGTCTAATTGGATCGCTTGAGTAGTGCATTGGTTCATTCAGTACATTTGATAAAACAATAGAAAGTCACATCAAGAGACCAATTCGAATTCAAGGGAAATGAATACAATGGCATTCGAGACGTTTGCATATTCTTAGTACGCTTATATGTGAAAACCTGGTTTCAAGCTCCATCAGCAACGAAGGCTCCTCGAATTGACCTCGAATTCATCAAAGGTGGTATTGACTATGCTAGTATTGACAAAACAATTTCTGATTTAATTGTGTCCAAAATGAGCGGCCATCTTTGCTACTTGTCCAACGAAACAGTTGGAATGGCGTTCTTTGATGAAGAAATACCAATAGATGAAAAGAGACGAATGCTGTACGCATTGAGCAAGGAGCAGAAATCTGAAAAATTGTTGAAAGCAACAGAAGCAGATATAAAATCAACATTTAACAGCAAGCAAATTAATGATTTCGTTTCATTCAATACAAGAGAGGTTTTCAAACGTTTTGACGCACCAACTGACTTTCTTTCGCTTGATCCTGAGGAATGGAATGACGATGCAAGCTACAAAAAAGCAAAAGAAATATTCGAGCACGTTCACGTTGTAAACGATTCAGCTGAAAGGGCTGTTAAATTGTTCAGTCACTATAATTCGATTCTAAGCAAAGATGACAATGATAAACAGTTCATAATAAATGTTGTTCAAGAGTATAACACAATGTATCCATCCATCAACAAGGCTGATTTGGGTTAGGTAATGGTGAAAAACATGTTTTCATACGTATTTATAAAAAAAACTAATTAAAAATACCTGTTGAGAAAAAATAATTGATCAGAAACGCAAAAAAAGCTGAACATTCATAATTTTTCTTTAAAAAACTGTCTTTTTACAATAAAATTGAGGATATTTCAATATGAAATCGATTGGGTATTATTTATTTGTGTTGTGTTTGTTCATTCTCACCGCCACAAACCAAAAAGTATGATAAAAGGTTTGGTCTTAGCGAGTAAATTGTAAGTAAAATGTCAAAAATCGCATGATTTTCCCTTGTTTTGAGCTGCACACGCGTTGAGCTCACTCCCAATCCCATGAGTTAGTGCAGTTTTCATCTTGGTTTTTCTTTTTGGACTATTTCGCAACAAATAGGCTAGTTGCACACAAAGAAATTTCATTTTTGTCGGAAACGGAACAGTCTAATGTGCAGCTACTGTATTTATAAAGTGTCGATGTTGATTTGATATTGATATCATTCGTTTATCATGTCGACCAAAAACAATGTGGAATGTGACTTTGGATGGTGTTGGATCCACAATGCCAATGCAGGATGTTTCAATTAATAGCATAAAACCGCGTAGCCACACTACAGCTGCTGCAATTAAATCGAGCTAAATTATCTAAGGCCCATGTTTTTAACTTTTCATTTCAACAACACAATCAGAATTTCATGGAGAATATTCGCACAGAAACTGTATTGAGAAGAGTTGAATTTATTCTAAATGCAAAAACGCCTCTCGAGAATTCCGTTGAATAGAGAGACGAATTGGATTTGAGAAAAAAAGGAATATTCATTTCATGCACAGCAAATTTAATTTGATTTTGTATTTTATTTGTTTATTAAGTTAATTTACAAAAAAATTATTATTCATTTAACGGATTATTTACATCAAAAAACTTTTGCGTTGACATTGTTTTTGGAAATATAAACGATTTGCACATTAAATTGGTACACCAAATATATTTTTTTATTGTATGTATCAATTTTGCGAAATTCCAAGCTGGACTCGATTACCGATGATGCATACAAAATGTATAAATTCCATTGTTCCATTTACAATTTGACTGATTGGCGATTTGAAATTCTGTCGCGCTTGTTTTACTCTTCAATCAAAAGTGTAATTTGCACACGAAAGAGCCAGCTCATCAATCAAATGTGTAACATGTACGTAAAAAAATAAAATGTAAACTTTTTTTCTGTATTCGTTCCGTTGGGAATTGTTTCATTTCACCTGATATTGCATTATGTTGTTATTTGTGTGTATTTAATGGGGGAAGCACATTTGTCCTGTACGTTTAAGAGTAATTGATGTTGTTTATATTCGAGAGTTTTTAATTAAAGTTCAGAAAACTGATAAAATAGTCATTTTAAAATGTGCAAACAAACATGGATGCATCAACTGGATAACAATATTGGCAACAAGTGCATCTCGATTGACAGATTGAGACAAACTTTTAATGGGTGAAAAACATTCATCAATTTTTTTTTTTGCTGTGTTCAGAAAGTAATAAATTGTTTGCACGATTCAAATGTCATAGTACATGACGATTGGTCAAAGGGAGTTGATTATCAACTGTGCATCAAATTTAAATGCTTTGTCGATTTCCCGCTCGGTTGATTGTGCCGTGTGATTTGATAGCGGAATGATTTTGAGTGTAAAAATAGGCATCATCAAATGAAACGTTTCGACCTTTACACTGAAAAAGAAATCTCGTACACAAAAACCAGCTTCCATTCTCGCAGAAAATCGTGTGTCAACCTTCGGTTGGGCATCATCAAAATTCTCTTTACGACAGTTGTAACCACAATAAAAACGGAATTATGACGTAAAAATAAGACAAACGGTTTTCGAAGTTGGGCTGTGTCATAAAACCGACACTTTATTCCATAAATTCCACCATATTTTTTTCTCTGTCTCCTCTCAATCGCTACAGCGGTGCTTCGGCTCGACACCAGTTTATACTCTCAACGAAATTACGACAATTTAAAGCAAATATAAAAATTTCATTTTACATTCGTGTTTATTATGAGCATCGTGTGTGTATGTGTGTGCGAGAACCATATAAACATCGTGAGAAATTCGCCGCGTGTTGCTGCAATTCATACAGACAGTTACATTTTATGTTGAGCACAATGTTGTTCGATGCAAATGGCATCGTGATGTATGCGCGCACAGTCATGGCCAAAATTACAGGCAATCAGCCAGTTGAAAGTCTTACAAATGAAAATGTAATCGACAGTTAGGCGAAGGCAATTTTTAGGGAAATCCGCTTTTCGACCGAACAAGACAGACAGCGGGATTTGGGAATGGGCGAGAGATATCGGTTAATATGATGGCACAATCTGTTCAACTCTCTGAAATAGTTTGGAAATCACTCCAATAATGACCCTCGTCATCGTTTTCTTTACAAATAGTTTCCGAGCAGCAGATTTCTCTAATCGGATTTATTCTCAGTTTCTGAAAACGATTCAAAGTGAAATCGCTCTTCAGCTTCAATATGTCGGTTTAACTCAAGTTTTACCAACAAACAACTATAAGAGATAGTACACCGAAAAGTTATCGCTTTTCTTAAAAGTTTTTTCTTGTATTTTATAAAAAGCGGTTTTAAACGATGTTTAAAAAAAACACTTGAACATAGGATAATCGTGAATAAAAATTAGTGATGAAGCTTTTTCAATGAAGATGCACATGTTCTCTTTTCGATTTTGTTTCTTTATTCAATGCACACGTATTAGCTGACAGTGATGATGATTTAGTAGTGCTTTTGACAATTGAAATGTTGAATACGAATGCCAAAATGTTGATGTCAATTTGGAATCTTTGTCAAGAATATCAAATATTTGAGAGCCACCTGTATCAAAATGAGCCACATGCGAACATTGTTTGTTTTCGGCTTCATAAATGGATATTGTCATGAATACAAATTCATTTGTAAAATAGAAAATGGACGAAATGACAACATACAATATTCGTTTGTCAATCCTAATTGGGCATTACGTTCAATTTGATCACTAACGATGTATGCCATTTTCTAAATTCTGTAGCTGGGATATGGAAACCACAAAAGACGATCGATATGCTGTTCGTGTTCAATCAAACTACCATTTTCATCATATGAACTGGCATCATCTTATCCACAGGCTAGTCTAGTGAAAGTGGTTATGGTTGAAATGCATAATTTTCAAATGAAAATCAAAGGCGGTGATTAGTTCGATGTGTTACTTCGTTCGTCGTCGGCCTATATTGCCGTTTCTACGGAAGTTCACAGTTTTGAATTAATTATACCCATTTTAAATGCTTTAAAATAGTACAGAACGAGAAGTTACACGAAAAAAGCCCCTTCACAATAACATGTTGATTATATGAAAAGTTGTTTTTGCCAGAAGTAATGTAATAACGAATTCTATGCGCAGTCATTGTGTCGACAGACGACATGCGGTTTTCGGACACACAAAAACTTGAAATCTTAACGAAAAGCAACCCACGGAATTAGAACAGCGAGTCGAAGACCAGAAATGTTAACTTGAAAAAAATGTGTGTTGAAACAGGGAAAAAAAGTTATGCGATTCATTTCCTCAACATGGAGCCACTTTCTATGGTCGACATCGCTATTGAATGCAAGCTGCATATTCCGCCATTCAACTATCTATTATCTGCGTTGATTTCCTTATTAATTTCTTCGCATTCATGCTAAATGGTTCACGCGCGCAAAAGGAATTTCTGCCAGCGCGACAACACAGAGAAAAAAAAATCCCACCACCGAAGAACAAGAGCAGCCGACCAAAAGAAAAGCGTCTGTCTAACTAACACAATTTAACATTTTGAAATGTTCCCTGTCGCGTGCGCGCACTTTGGAAAACAATGGGCTAAAGAATGTCAGTTAAAGAGAATAGAGTGAAATTCACCGCAAAACAGAAATGGAGAGAAAAAAAAAGAATCAATTCATTGTTTTCAGTGGTTTGCGTTGATGTTTTTCGAATGCTCATTTTCTTGCCAACAAATCCGGTCGTTGTTTCGTGAGCGCGCTCGCGACCATTTTCATGCAGATATGCGGAACATCTGTTCGTAATGGCTAATTAAATCCTTCCGGCCATTGTGCTTCGGCTAATTTGAAATCAGATTTTCCTTTCGCGAATGCGACGACCGAAAACTAAAACAATTCCGAATCGAACGGAGCGGCAAGAGAACGGACGAAAAGAAGAAAAAAGTTGTGCATTCAATTTTTCCGCCTAATTCGATGGATGGTTTGGTTTTCGAACACGCGATTTCTCGATTTTTGAACTGGAACAGTTGTAATACGATTCTTATATTACACAGTCCGACGCGTGTTTTTTTTTAAGTTGGCACGTAAATTTTTGGGCATTTTTTCGGTTTTTCATCAAATAAAAATGTTTTTGATGTCTCTATAGTGTCGATCTAAAATCGACTGCCGCACATTTTTAAGCTAGTATCAAGCGGTGTATTGCCTATGAATCTATGGTGTCATAGGTATTTTATTCGAACATAGTTAGTCGGCATGCGACGTATACACAAATGCGTGCGTATCAGTGAACGGTCGTTCATGGGTAATACAATGCTTGGCTAGTATAAAGTACATAAAACTATGTGATAAAGATGAAAGAGTTTCAAACCTTTTCGTCCTTTTTGACAGATGTCCTTTTCATTCATAAACCCAATTTGGAAAAGAAAATCACAGCTATTTCGACTTCTTGCATGCAAGATGCCCAAAACATAAGAGTAAAAAAATTGTCATCATCAAGTTTACACGGAACGACCAATTTCAAGTGTTGCAACTTTGTTCTGAAAGAAGCCGAATATTATCTGAAAAACTAAACACTAGTACAAAATAATAAATGGCAAATCATTCTTTTAAAATACTTGAGTTCATTTTTACGGATCTAACGAAATATTTGAAAATTGTCGTGCCGAATCGATACAACCGAATTGTATAGCCTCAACATCACCTCGGCACGACAA